TTTTTTTTTTTCATGTAATGAAAACCTCAATGCCATCTAGCTTAAATGATTAGATAATATATTAGCTCATTCTAAAATTAGGGAGGACTTCAGTGCCATTTTAATTCAGAAATGTGACAATGCCACCAGATACAAGGTCGCATGACCTTGTATCTGGTCAACCTCTGCTCCATATTCTGTGTGTCAGTTACCCTTAAGGCCAGCTTCCTTCTACAGTCACAAAATCTCTTCCGATGTCACCTGGGACTTCATATTTCCTCATCCATCATCAGGGAGAGAGAATGGGTATCTACCACCCAACTAAAATCCTTCAAGTCTTTCTAATTGGTTCAATTGAAAGTATATGCTTATCTCTGAAACAGACATTAATGCCAAGATAATGATTGCACTGAATGGCATGGGCCTGGATTATGTGTCTACCTCTAACCTAATAAGCATAACTAGAGGTATGGGATCACACTGATTAGCCTCTCTCAATGATGGGCCACCTATGGAACTCAAGGTAAAAGTCAGCCTTATCAAATTGCATGGCTGTTGCACCTGGTATGGAGGTAGAGAGGATAATGGGATGGATGCTGGGGAGTCAGTCACAACATCTTCCATACACTGGAAACCCAATTGCCTAGGGAAGAACCATTGTTAGTATTTTTGCTATATAGCTCTGAACATACACATATACTTTGCGTGTGTGTTTGTGTGTGTATTGAAAATTAGAAATATACTATATATACTATTTTATATACTCTTTATTTTTCACTGAAAAATATATCCAGAGTTTTCTCATGTCATCAAATATTCTAAAAATTATTTAAAAGGCTGCATGAAATTTAAATAACTCCCCGAATTTGAAAATTTACTGAGTTGTTTCATTTTTCATCCTTACAAATTAAGCTACAATAAATAAATTTGCACATATATCAGTGTTCATATCCAAGCTTGTTTCCATAGGATAGAATAAAAGAAGTAGAATCAGAGAGTGAACGAATATAAACAAAGCCTTTGGACACTTACTACAAAATGAACACCTTAAAATATTGTGCCAATTTTACATTCTTGGTAATAATATACATTAGTGTATTTAACTATCCACACCTGTTATATTTCTAAAGCCTCAAAGTATTAAAAAATATTATTTGGATTAGTAGTTAAATCTCTGGGGGAAAGTGAAAGGAGAGATTAGTGATTTATTAAAAACTTGGAATTCAGAATACAGAAGCTCTTGATTTTTCAACCCTTGATGTCTGGGCCTAGACTAATAGGAAACACAAAATAACATCATATTTGTGTGAAGAAGAAAAGTAACCCCCAGGGTCTACAGTATGCTACTCTACTAGTTTTGACTCTTTGATACGTAAATCACTGGGCTGCAATTTAAGCCGGCTTAGGCAAAAAGGTACATTTATTGTCTCATGTGACAATGAAGAGTAAGAGTGTAATTGGGAATGACTAGAACAAAAGATTTGATCGTACCAGGATTGTTACCTCACCTTTATCCATGTCTTCTACTGCAAATCGGAATTCTCTGAGAAGCTAGGACCCCAGTTGCCAAAACCTTCTGAGTCTGCATTTTCAAACCTTCACTGCCAGAAAGCCTCACCTAATTTCAAAGATCCAGGGCTATATCCTGATTGTTTAGGCTCAGTTCATCTGCAGATCCTTGCTTTAAAGATGGTTAAGGTGGGGCTTCCCTCGTGGCGCAGTGGTTGAGAGTCCGCCTGCCGATGCAGAGGACACTGGTTCGTGCCCCGGTCCAGGAAGATCCCACATGCCGTGGAGCGGCTGGGCCCGTGAGCCATGGCCGCTGAGCCTGTGTGTCCGGAGCCTGTGCTCTGCAACGGGAGCGGCCACAACAGTGAGAGGCCCGCGTACCGCAAAAAAAAAGATGGTTACGGTGGACTTCTGTAGAGCAACTAGTTGATACTTGATTGGCAGCCCCTTACGTCAGAGACATGATCTAAGTAGGGAAGGGCAGGTTCTCTAGAGGAGAATGGAATTATCAGAAGAAGAGGGAAGACATGCTAAGTGGACACTAATAACTCATCATATAAATGTGATCTTTTAAAATCCTTAATGCCATGCCATAGTTACTACCATAAATGGGTAGAGAAGGAAACTAAGATTCATAGAAATCAAATTAATTGCCTTGGGTCTCAGTGTCTCTCTGTCTCTGTTGCTCGCTCTCTCTCTCAGACACACACACATACACACCACAGTGATGGAGCTGGAAATTAAATCCCAGTCAGTCTAATTCTAAGTCTTATGCTCTTTCACTAATTATACATTAAACACTCTTTAGCAATGTGGCGATTATATGAATAAAGATACAATGATTAGATAGCAGGCAATAACAATCACCCCACCACCTCCACGCACATACACGAATGACCTCCACCATGTGTTTATACACTCTCCTGGCTTGCTTCTAATCCAGGTGAGAGAATGTTTCATGTGTGTCCCCCATCAGCTCTGTCTCCTTAAGCCCCAACTGCCTAGGGCTGCGATGAATCACAGAGGAACAAGAAGAAGGAGGGCACAAGTTGGAGAAAACAGACAACCTATCCTCAGGCCTCTCCAGGTCAAGATCTAACCTTCACTCTAGGAAGAGATGCTGAATTTCCATCTGACCACCTTTCAGTAATTTTCTCTTCTGCACTCCAGGACAGTGGGCTAACTCTTCCCAGAAGTGCACAAAATGGCTTCTTAACATCACAGAAGAGCCTATAGATTTAGTCTAGTCTGTTCATCTAGGGGAATAATAACCAGAGAGATTAAATGACCTGCCCAAGTTAAAACCTAACGTCATAGGCAAATTCAAATTCAAGGCTTCCATCTCCCAGGCTAGAGATCTCCCACTCACACATGGACGTTTCAGTCACTCCAGAGAAGAATGAGCTCTGAGGGTAAAAATTAACATCAGGAAGAAGCTCCAGAGAAAATCATAAAGGACAATGAGTATCTGTGCAACCTTCAAAGAGTATCCCATTGTCTCCTTGGAAAGAAATGAACTTGCATCTACTGATAGCAGTGTAAAAGGAGTAACTGAGGACAGCGGTGGAATTAGGAAGTCAACAAACATTTATTACGTACCTGTTAGGTGTCCAAACACCTTTTCTGTGCAAGGTGCTGGGGACAAAGCAATAAACAACACAGGTATGGTCACTGGCCTCAGTGACCATGCCAACAAAGATTGCTAACAAAGAAAGCAATCTAGCGGGGAAGATAGACTTTAAACAAAAAGTCACAGGTGTGATGGTTATTTTGAAAGGTCAGGTGCAGGATCCTGTGGGAATGCAAAGCCCATCTACAGCAGTAGGAACGGCCACTCAGAAGAGCAGAGTTTAAGCTGAGACTTGGATGATGAGTAGGATATACTCAGGGGCATGTGGAGCGGAGTAGTGAGCCAAGCAATAGTGTATAAAGGCCTGGAGGTGAAAGAAAGTGGTGATGTGGGGATCTGAGAGCAGGTCCCTGTGGCTGAGCGTAGGGTGAGGGAGAGAGTGGAACAACTGCCTAGAGAGGCAAGTAGGGACCAGAGTATATAGAGCTCCATGAGCTATGTTCAAGAATTTGCTTATCCTAAGGACAATAAGAAGAGTTTTAAGCAGAGAGAGGCAGAATCATCTCTGAATTTTAAAAGATCATTCTAACATCAGCATCGAGAGATTAGAAGGGAGGGACTGAAATTGAACATGATGAAAAACCTCTTAGGAGGTGCTTACACTGGTCAGATTAAACCACGGTGGTGGCTTAGATGTGAGCGTTTAGCAGAAAGGAAGAGGGGACTCAAGATTTGCTTCCATTGTTCCCTGAACCATGCATAACAGAAAAAGCAAAATTAAACCTTAAGTCTATACATCGTGGGCAGGGGGTCTCTGAAAATTAAGATAAAAAAGAATCCAAACAGGAATCCCTCCTGTTTGCTGGGAAAGCATTAGAGAAATGAGTACACAGAAGAAAAATAAAATTAGGTGTAGTGATTCTGATTCACAGACACCATTTCCTGGCCAGATGCTGCTGTAGAACTTTCAGAAACACCCACTAAAATAATAAATGAAAATCACATATTCGTAACAATTAATGAGAATACAGGCTGAATATGCAATGTGGATGAAGATTTTGATTTACCCATGGAAGATGGAAATATATATGATAGAGGAAAACAATACCCAGAAATGTGATAAACATTTGCATGAAAATGAGCCACTAGAAAAACTCAATACTTCTTCAATACTTTATGCACCAAAGTATCTTCAGAGCAGTCAAAAAGAAATAATAATAAATAATCATAGTGAATTTTCCTGCCATTAATTTTGTCACAAAATTTCTGTTGACTGCAGTGGAAGTTCTGCATCTAGAATGTGGCCCGGGAAATATTTATAGCCTGTAACTCAGAGACCAAAGACCTTGAACATCAAGAAAATCTCTTACCCTTATTTATATACACTGTTCTTTATCACGAAGGAAGAGCTGGTACCCATTCCAACTAACCAATCATTATGCAAGGAATATTCTGACTCACCCAGCATCTTTAATCAGTAAATGCTGTGCCAATGGAAAGAGAGCGGGGAGAAGTCACAGCAACCATTAATAAAAAATGACTAGGGCTTTCTATCAACAGAAGCATCATTAGAAAATATATGGTAGGAAAATAGTAGGCTGTAGATTTGTGGTGGCAGGGATGGCAATGGAATACTAACATTTATACCCTCTTAACCACTTTGTTTAAAATGATGCCAGCTTTCGGGTAATTACATATGTGGTTAATACAGCATTTTGCATTTTCAATTTCTTGCTAAATTCCTGACTACAGTCTCAAAAGATGGGACTGCCTTACCTGACTCTTTGGCTCTCCCTCCAGCCTCCAAACACAAATTCTTCTATTTTTTTCCAGTTTTATTGAAGTATAATTGACATGTAACATTGTATGAGTTTAAGGTGTACAACTTAATGATTTGAAATATATATTTATTACAAAATTATTATCACAATAAGTTTAGTTTAAAAATAGGGAGTGTTTCACAAATTTGCATATTATCTTTGCATAGGGGCCATGCTAGTCTTTTCTGTATGGTTCAAATTTTTTAGTGTTATGTACTGTTGAGTCGAGCATCACAGATATTTCTAACAGGTAATTGGCTGTCATTGTCTGAGCATATCTTCCATGAAGGCTTTGGTCAATTCATGGCAAAAGATAAATCAGATATGAAGGGGAAGAACCTCAGATTAATCCAATACTTTCTTGAAAAGTCTCCTCTTTTTGCTGCACTTCTACTCCCAATCATGAACCCTTGAGTAAATAACGAAAATACGATTCACATTTCCAATACACTGTGCAATCTGCATTTCAGCTGAGATGCTTCTTGGTCACACAGTAGACTTGTAATTCCAAAGTAACTGTATTGCATTTTGAAAGAAAACAAGGCAGCCACATTCCATTAACAGAAAGCCTTCTTGAGCGTGTCTCTTGGTAGGTTAAATGGATCTGAGTCATGCGCTGAGGGTGAATGGGAGAATCATAAACGTTTATATAAAACACCTACAAATCTTAATAGGGGGAGGAGCTAAAACTACAAAAGTCCCCATTACTGTACAACTTTTCAAGGATCACTAATGCATGTCACCAGTGGATTAACAGTATTCTGCTCTACTGGCATTTCTGCCCTATCATTAACCCCAGCATGGTCCAAAAAGTTGAGTATCCGTAAACGAGCTTACTGCAGTTTATGTGACTTACAGTTCTATCAGTTCAATAGGAACAACAGCATCAAATTCCTCATCTAGGCTCAGTTGTATAGATCTGAAGTCTAGAGATCAGATTCCCATTGTGTCAGTTTTCCATGCCTTGTTTTCAAAAAAACATGGCTCTGACCCTGTTATGCGTAGTAGCATACGACTGCTAACGATATTTCACTATTAATGTATATGCTGGCCTCAGACAGAACCTGGATAGATGGTGTTCTCAAATCACTACTCAGTCTACACTGGAAATTGTACTGGTTTCGATAAGAAGTAGTTGGAATATACCACCCACCAAAAAAAAAAAAAAAAAAAAAAAAAAAGTCCTATATAATCTAAACTTCTATTGGAATTCCAGGATTTATGTCACTATTATAGAAAATCTCATTTTGGTTATAGCGCCAACATGGCCAAATAAATGACTTCTAGATGCAAGAAGAAAATATTTGGCCAAGATAGATAGGTGTTCAAACAGGCCTCCCCAGCTTACTTGTTTTGCTATATGGAAAATGAACTAACCGAGTTTAATGGACATCAAATGAGATTGGAAGCCTGTTCTAATTCACTTCATTCTGTACGAGGAATGAGCAGTTTTTGATTTCCTTACATCCACCTTTAGCCCCTACAATGTATTCTCAACAAACTGGCCAAGTGATCCTTTTAAAATAGACACCAGGTCATGTGACTTCTCTACTGAAAATTCCTCCATGTCTCTCACTCTACAAACAGTGCAAGCCAGAGCCCTGGCAAAGGTCTACAGGGCTATACGGTCTGGCCTCTCTGGTCTATTTCTTACCCTCTCCTGCTCAGTTTACTCCAGTCCCACTGGACACACTGCTTCTCAAACACAAACAGCATATTCACACCTCTGGACCTTTGCACTATTTGTCCCCTTTGACAGGAACACTCTTCCCTCTGACATCACATGACTCATTTCCTCACCTTCAAACCTTTGCTCAACAGTCACCATCTCAACAGGCAACCCTGTCCAACCTATTTGAAATTATATTGCACCCCTGCTCCTCACACTCCCAGCTCCCCCTTGTCCTATTCTGTTTGTCCTCCATAGCACCCATCACCTTCTAACATTCTACATAGTTTACATATTTACTATGTTTATTGTTTCTCTCCCTCACTAGAATTTAAACTTCACAAGGACAGAAATTTTAGTCCATTTTGTTCACTACTATACACTCAGAACTTGAAATAATGCATAGCCCATAGTAAATGCATGCTTAATAATATTAGTTGAATAAAAGAATGAATTCCAAAGTTGCTGAACATGGCAAAGATCTCGCACACTGAAAATTCACAGCTGTTTTACTTTAAGCTATGATTTAAATTCTGAAGCCTCAGTTTTCTCATCTGTAAAATGGAATAATTATATTATTTAACACTTAGGCTTGTTGTAAAGATTAAGGGAGAAAAATGAGTGGGAAGTATTTTAGGCAATGATTCACATACTGATTAATTATTTTGATTGGTCCAAGAACAATGGCAAGCATACCTAACGTGTATATAGAACTTTACACCTTACAAAGAACACAATTGTTTTCATTAGATCCTCCCAGCATCCTCTCAGATTCACTCCAGGAAAATGTTAATAACTGGATCCTCAGTGTCTGTGCCTCAGCAATGTCAGGGATGTATCCAACCACAAGGCTCTGAAAGATGGAGGCCGATTCAAACTGAAGTCCTCTGAGCCCAAGCCTGGTGCTCTCTCCTCAATATCAGACAAAGAAAGCATTGCTTCCAGCACAAGCTTTCAACAGAATGAAGTGATGTTTCCTATTTTTTTTTTTTTTTACTGAGTCTGGATGTCGGCACAGAATGTGGCTTAGATGAGGCGGTAGTCATCAGCACCAAGTACCCCTTGCAAATCCCAAGAAGTCAAGACTCAAGCCCTGGAAGAGATCTTCTCACCACTGATCACTTATTTAGTCACATGCGTGCAATCTGGAATACCTTTACTATCTCAGTGTTTCCTAACATCCTATAAACACCTCTAGAAAAGGATTAGGTTTTCTGAGAGAAGCACCCCAATTCCTCATTTAGTCTTATTTACATAGTTGGTGTTCAGTAAATTCTTAACGCATAATGAATGAATTTTAAAAATGGGTGTGTTTGCTGTTGCTGCCCACGTTAGCTTGCAACATAACATTTTTTCCCTTCTTTTCTACTAAAATAATTAGAGTACAAGCAGATGTCTACAGCGTCATGCCCCGCCCCATCCCTCACAATTGTGTTAATCAGAAAACAAGTTCCCCAGAATGTTGTGCACGAAAGAATTACACATTTAGGAAATGCTGAGTTAAACAATTTCAAACAGGCTTTTTTACTACAGGACTTCTCAGAGCTTTTACCACACAAATGTACACTGCAAATCTTCAACTTTTAGGTAGCATCTATAGCATTTTGCAAATGTATTGGAAAATTTGTGCACTTCCTCCCCCAGGAAACAAAGCTTTTTGCATGTAGTTTCTTTCAAGTTTACCAGAGAAGGCGTTTATCTGTAACAATTACACTCAGGGTCTTCAAAAGCAGATCCATATCCCACCCTCCCTATCCCACCCGGGAGGGAGGGAGACGCAAGAGGGAAGAGATATGGGAACATATGTATATATATAGCTGATTCATTTTGTTGTAAAGCAGAAACTAACACACCATTGTAAAGCAATTATACTCCAATAAAGATGTTAAAAGAAAGAAAGAAAGAAAAAAAAAAAAAAGCAGATCCATAAAAATCTAAAATAAAATGCCAGGAACATGAAGAAGTCAAGGGGAGTTCACATTTTTTTTTTGTAAAGCTGAATACCTTAAAGGGTAATTTTACTTAGATTTACTATTTAATTTCCATTAAGCCTAATACTAGGTTTGTGTAAGCCCACAGATCCTGAACGAGTATTATTCTGGAGGATGTGCTAAAGACTGATATTTATTTCACCTTTTTTTTAAAAGGAAGGCACTGGTTTGGGGTCCTTACATAATCTCATGGACTTTAAATAGAAGGCCAAAACTCCTCATAGGCAAAGTAGTTAAACTTATGACGGGAAGGAAAACAAAGGATGCTCCTGTCCTACTGGTCTTAGCACAGGGTCTCTTGGTCCATGTAAATGAAAATTTCTATCAAAAGGCAAACGTTACCCAAAGACCTCTGTCAGTTAATAGCACCTTTTGAAAAAACATTTATTTATTTATATATTTGTTTGGCTGTGCTGGGTCTTAGCTGCCATACATGGGATCTTCATTGCGGCATGTGGGATATTTTGTTGTGGCATGTGAACTCTTAGTTGAGGCATGTGGGATCTAGTTCCCTGACCAGGGATCGAACCAGGCCCCCTGCATTGGGAGTGCAGAGTCTTGGCCATTGGACCACCAGGGAAGTCCCAGTTAATAGCATCTTATTTTTATTTACCAGGTAAGATTAAATAAACATAAAGTACTGAGAGCACAGGCCACAGAACTTATACATTTAAATGAGGCCAAGAAGAGGATGGTTGAGGGGTGAGGTATGTCAGGGAAGGATATCTGGGGCTGGGCTCCCTGGAGGAAGTGACAAGAAGGTCTTGTCAAGAAGGATCCAGTAAAATGGGAATGAAAGACCCTTGAATTCCACTGCGTCCACTTTGTACATTAGCCTTGTGATAGCCATCATGACAGATCTTGAGTATTAGAGTTTTTGTAGGAAACAGTAAGCAGAAAGCTAGGAGACCTAAACCTGGCTGTGTAGATGCTGCTGGCTGAAGATACAAAGGTACATAGAGAAGGAAGTCAGGTCCAGAGAAGACACTGCCTTTAGCTAATGTGAGAAGCTACTGACAATGTGAGGTCCCCAGAGCCTGTCATAGGCATTTGAAGTTAAAATCAAACAAAACAATCATTTTCTCTGGCTTATCCAGGGGTATCCCATTCCCCCTCTTTCTCTACTCCACCCCACACCTCCACCCTTAGCCTTAGCCCCTGAATAAAGAGGGAATAGAAACTAGCCTGATAGTCTCTGCTGCTGTGACAGCTTTTAATACGTATATTAACAAATACCCTACTCGCCACTATTGTCCTAAGTCCTATATTTCATTTTTCAAGCTATAGAAATATATAGACTATTTGAACAGTAGGCAAATCCCCTACTCTCTTTCTGAACGTAGATGGTTTGTGAAGCATTAATGAAATCACTTGACACTGAAATTTAGTCACCTTATGTGGCAACCCTTCCCTAAACTTTAAATTTGAAATTCCACACCCAAGTCCAGTTCGTTTTTGTTCTCCACATTCCCACTATGCTCCTCCTTCCAGGCTTTTCTAAATGTCATGCAGGATCCTCTCCAGGCAATCTGTATTAAGCACAGCTATTTGAGGCAAAGCCTTTCTCTTAGGG